TGTTACATTATGTGACTCCCTGTATTGTGTATTGGTTAAATTTGGATTAGGTTAATATGTCTTTCAGGTTTTTAGATTGGCTTTTAATTAATTTTAATTTGCTTTTTAATTATTTTGGTTGTTTTTAGTATCAAACATCAAAAATAAGAAAATCTCAACTAAAGAAGAAATACGGGTTTGCTTATCGCACATTCGACGAAACATTGAAGAAATCGCGAAAAAAAAAACAAACAAAAAACAAGCACAATTTTCAGACTAAATAAACTGCACAGTTGAATAGAAATATTGAAATGAAATAAGTTCATATTTGTGTGTATGTATTTTTAAAAAAATCTATGGTTTTGTTTCATAATATTCAAATGTATAACTGTTAAAAAATTGCTAAGTGTGCCGTGATATTTTCATTTGCTCTTAGGTGTTTGCTTAAAAGTGTTGAGAAACACTGCCACATTGTGATAAAAGAAATTTACAATAGATGATCTAGCGATTAAAGCACTTTCAGTTTCGTAAATGGCTTTCTCTTTTAATTAAAGTAGCATTTTTAAATTGGAATTATAGTCAGACTCATTACGGTGTGCAATTAATGCACCGAGTGTGTTGTTTGTAAAAGATTTCTTTTGTATTTGTATAATCTATTTAAATTCACCGAAGTTTCTCCTATGTATTATTTGTGGCAATTATTACAGGTGGTAAAGTAAATTCTTCATTCAAGTTTTAGCTTATTATTTTATTCTTCTTAAAGCAGTTGTAAGAAATCTAAGCTTAAATAAATTCTATTCAGTTGCAATTGTGGTAGAATTGGCAGGTAGAATAATATATTTTGATTCGTTGAGTTTATATATATATATATATATATATATATATATATATATATATATATATATATATACACACACATTAGGTGCATGTCTGTGCGATACTTTTTACATCAAAATACTATATGAAGTCTGATCAAAAAGTATCGGCACTATTGCAATGGTAACAGCTAAAGTACACAGAGTGAAGCCGCTTGCCACAGAAATCTTGAAATCTGTCGCACATACACACTAACTTATCTCGCTCACTTCCGTTGTTTGTAGCAGTGCCTGGAAGGAAAGTGTGTAGAGTGTGGTCCTCTCCACACAACAGAGGTTTCATCAGTGACCATGGCTTTTACAAGAGTTTTTGGCCAAGACCAGCACAACCCAAGTCCAACAACAACTTTATTCCCCAGATCTCGCCCCTTGCAACTTTTTTTCTCTTTCCAAAAATCAAATCCCAATTGAAAAGTTCAAGATCTTAAGACGTTGAGGAAATCCACGAGAACGTGACGAGGCAGCTGCTCGCTATCCCAAAAAAGGAGTTCCAGGAATACTTCCACCAATAGAAACGCCACTGGATAGAATGTGTGGCTTCTAAGGAGATTAACTGTCAAATGTTGTAATTTTCTTTTTGTAACAGAAGTTCCGATACATTTTAATCAGGCCTCGTATGTCTTTATTCAAAATTAAAAAAAAATGTTTAATGATCAGCAAATTATGTGACAATGAAGACAAATAATTAATATTTAATAATACAAGCAACAAACATTTGTCAACTCATATGACCAATCGTCTTTTATAATATGAAAATGTAAAAGATTATATCATCCAGTATTGTTAATAAAAAAGTATTTAGTGTAACGATTTTTTTTGTTGAGTTACCTCCCTTTATGTGCAAATTATTTTGTGTGGAAAAAAGTTGCTTCCCTTTCATCTAAGCCTACTAGCTATTTGAAGCTTTCAACTTTCTTTTGCATAACGTCAGCTTTCAGGACGTGGGCGATCATGGCTCTTCACATTTCCCACTATCTTTCCGGTTGACTGTTCTGTAATCCATTTACACAAAATAGTTACTTAGTGTTTCCATCTTACCTTCAGTATGTCCTGTGAGTGTCAAATTCTCCAAACCCTTTTTGCCTCATTATGTGTAAAAAAAATAAATGTTTTAGATTCTAAGTGTAAGTGCCCGGTTATTTCAATTTTTCTTAAAACCTCATTTTTCTCATGTTTCATCCATGGATTTATCAGTATCCTTCTGTAGATAATACAAATCTTCATTTACGTGCTGTCCCTTCAGCACATCGGTGACCTTGGCTCTCCACAACTTCCTATCCTTCGACGCTGTAAGTAATGTTTCTTTCTCTGCTATCCATCCCAATCCTTGTTCGGTCATCTATTAAGACAAGCATGTTTGATAGAGTGATTACCCGCTGTTTCCTTCCGCTCGTCTCATTTTAAGTATGTCTTGTGGGTATCAAATTCTCCACGTCTCCTTTCTCGTTATGAAATGAAAAAATAATCCACTCTTTAATGTGTCTCAAACATAATTTCCATGTAGCTATTGATACGGACGAAGCAGACAAGCATATCGCTTTTTCCATGGGAATTATTCCGGACTTGCATTTTCTTAAAATAATTTCACACCGAGCAAGGCGATAATGTCACTAAGACGCAAAGAGAGAGTAAAAGAGAACGGGAATGTTTTAGTAAGACGAAAGGACATTAAAAGATTAGGTTTCAGGAAAAAACAGAACGTGGCGTTTGCAGTTGCATTTAATTTTTGAAAAAAGTTGGTGGCAGACAAGCAAGAAACTGGAAAAAAAGTTACCCAGGAGAGAAGTGCGAAAAAAGAAACTATTAGAATAGAACCTATATATTTCAGCAGTAAAACGATGAGACCTAGTTGCCAATCTAGTACTGCGCTTAAATTCATGCGGTCAAGGTACCAAGGAGGAGAGCTCATTAGAACAACATCCATGAAAATATTTATGGAAAAGACAGAGGGAAGCCACGTCACAGTGGTGGGAAAATGACTGAAGTCGAGTTAGGACCACTAACATTGCAGACCCTTTGGATTTTATTGAGAATCTTGAGATATATAGAAGGAGCACCGGGCAACAATATTCAATGCACAGACGAATGGTAGATTTATCAATGTGTAAGATGGAGTCTGATGAGAAAAAATTTCTGGCACGATACATTGAACCAGCCTTCCCAGCAGCAGCAGGCCAAACAATTGATTCAACATAAACACTCCACTATTTACATTATTCGGACTATCATCTTTGTCGCCATATTTATTTCAACGTTTCGGCCGTTATACGTCCCGGCCTTCTTCAGGTGATTGGAATGTCGAACTGAACCCTTTATTTCGCTCACTGGGGTAGACTGTTCTAGTTCCACGTGCCATGTTTAATGGATGTCAGTTATCAGTTATCTCCTGTTAAATTTCAGTTCAGATCGACATTCCAACCACCTGAAGAAGGCCAGAGCGTACAACGGCCGAAACGTTGTAATAAATATGGCGACATTGCTCTCATGGAGGTTAGCATCAGCCACGCTGCTTGGGTGAAATGCAGTAGAAAAAATACTGTTGAGGAAAGTACATATCATTAAAATTACAGCATATATATATATATATATATATATATATATATATATATATATATATATATATATATTATAGGCTTCATTCCCAAAATAGAACGGTGGGCATTATTGGATGAAGAGAGTTTGAGAGTACTTAGGAAATAAACCCTATTTCCAACACAGTTACACAGCCACATACATACCATATTAAAACACACCTAAACTTTATTTTCTATCCAATAACAGACAATATTACAAACATGCCAAAAAGATTCCACAATAAAACACACTGTTTAAATAAAATTGTATATTGGTTAGAAATTAACCTCACCATGTGAAATATTTGACCAATCAGAGAACGCTAAAGTCCTAATTTTCTCGAGCCTACTTTCGGGAAAGAAATTCTTATAAAAATCCACAAATTTCGAATGTCAGTAGCAGAGATGCGACTGTCTCCAAGTCGTTCGGACACAAGAGAAGACGTGGCTACATATCTCTCCACCCCCTAGCGCGCACTAAAAGAAACATGTACCGGCGACTTCAGACGAATCATCTCCAGCAACAATAGCATGGACGGTCAGTGAATCGTTGCTGACGATCAAAGCCTTTTCTCAACCTCAGCTTTTTTTTTTTCTGTGGACCAACCACTAAAAGTCTATTCTAAACTACAGGGTTTTCTGTAGACTATCTATTCAAAGACTTTAACTCAATTGAAGACTATTTTTACTCTTTTTTAACTCTTTTGAATTCATGTGCATATATTTGTAAATACAAATGATTTATTTAACAGGCATGGGACCATGTATTCTTAGTTTTTATTTTAATATTCTTTGGATTTTCGGCGTTCAAATTTTTAATACAAAAAATGGGAGACAGAATTTCCTACAAATCTGAATAATTGAAGCAAACCTGATAACTTAGCAGTGAAGTGTAATTTTTTCGATTTAATAAAATAGAAGCTTAGCTATAAGCATGTTTCCTAATGGATATGCAATTTTTCACTTTTTCTTTATTGAAACTGAATTTCAGTATTGCATCGCTTTTTTCTTTTTTTAAGAAACCCTCTGTAAATGACAATGCTGTAAAAAAATTCAGTGTGTTCGAAGCTATAAATATTATATATCAATTCAAATGATAGCTTCGAAGTTGGTCAGGAATTGACGAAAGAACATTGGTGCCACAAGAAAGAGATGTACAATAGATTAATAAGAGATAGAAGTAATTTTACTGATCTCTCCGAAAGACAGTCTTAACCGAATTGCTCGCTGTAAGCAATTGAGAAAATTTTGCGTAAGACTTTTTCGTAGTTTTACTTACGGTTAAATGAGAATATTATATTGTTACTGACATTAGAAATCTAAATCGAAACTTCAATTTAACATAAAGGATATATTACTTATAGGAAAAATATTGTATTAGATCATACTGTACAACACTTCACTGTTCGGCTGAAAAATGAATTCGGTCATCACTAGTTGCCCCATACTTTCGGCCTTGTGCCACATCTACGCTACGCTTAGAAAACCACTACTACAATACAGTGTAACCACGAATAAACATGATTTACTTAGGAACGACATATAAGAAAAAGTGTTTTCTCCTTGAGTGGGCTTACGGCCACATCATGTTGAAACATCGGTTCCGGTACGATCACAGATATTAAGCAATGTCGAGCCTGGTCAGCAGATGGGTGACCACTTGGAAATACCAGGTGCTGTAAGCTTGGATGTGCAGGTGGTGTAATGGATACTTGCTCGGAATTGTTAATTGGAGAACCAAGTTCCAATTCCCGTTGTGTTCGTTATAATCACTTAAGCGCAAAATACCCTTTGGAAAGGTATGAATTCATCTTTTTATCCCCCATCTATGGGTTAATTAGTAAGACTTGTATCACTAAACCATTATTATCTTAAAAAAAAAAAAAAAAAGCTTAAAATCTAAAAATATTTTCTGGCTTTAAATAGCCCGGAAAGGGTTGAAAAGCCGTAAAAAACGAATCTACCAATCAATCAATACATCTTGACTGCTTTACTTTTCCTTCTGCCTGCTGATAGGAATTCAAAACCGAGAAATAGAATAAATAATGAATATACGCGTGTTTTGTGTTAAAATTGTCAATTATTTATAAACTAAAAGAACTGTAAACAAAGCATTTGTAAAATAATGATTAATTTGTTTTTTAAGTTCTATCAACCTCTTACAGGTTATTAAAAGCCAGAAAATATTTTTAGATTATAAGAATTTTTCAGGGCATAATAACGATTTACTAATACAAGTTCTACTAATTAACCCATAGTTGGGGGAGAGGAGATTGAGGTAGAAGGTTATTTACGTATAAGTGAATATAATGAATCCGACTGGAATTGGAACTCAGCTCTCCAATTTCCAATTTCTAGCCGTTATCCATTACACCATCCGCATCAGAATCTGGTATTCCCAAGCGGTCACCAATCTAGACATTCATCAGGCTCGACATCTGAGATCGTGCGAGAACCAGTGTTTCAATGTGACATGACCGTAAACCTGTAAAATAATGTAATGATAAAGGCATGCAATAAGTTTTTATACAAATTCATATTTCTGTGGAAAAAGAATACGTAAAAGTTTATGTTCACAGCCAATCATCATATTTTCTTGTGAAAGTCTACGATACATTATGTCGATTTTTAAAGAAAGATTAAAAAAAAAAGCGGTTCAAATTTCAAAGGATTCAAGATAAAAGATAGAAGAATAGAAAATACATAAACCAAGAAATACAAAACAAGAAAGAAAGAAAGAAAGTGAAAAATTTAAGAATGAACAAAAAGTAAAGATAGAAACATGAAAGAAATAAGAAGAGAAATAAAAATAGAAACGAAAAAAAGAAAAAAAGAATTGAATGATTGTAAAAAGAAAGAAAGAAAGAAAGAAAGAAAGAAAGAAAATGAGATGAAAACGCGTGTAACTTTACACGTATCCATGTTTTTGACATATAATATTGCCACTGATACAGTCTTATCAGTTGCCCACGTTTCTACAACTGAAAACGTTTAAGACTTTCTTTTATATAATAAATGAGAATATCAGTGTGTCACTGTGTCACACTGTTTCGGTTTTACTCCTAGAGGCCGTAATCCAACATATCATACCATTTTGGAATCAGGCTGACTCTGTGAGCAAATTAAAAACATTCCAGGCCATGTCCATATCCGCAGTTCTGACATTTTAGATTCCCAAGTTTTCATTAATTCGATTGTTTTCTGTGATTTTTGTGTGAATTTTTGCGGCGATTTGTTTGTACGATAACAATTTTTATAACTTGGAAATAAATTTGGGAATAATCAAAATTAATTGCGAAATCCTGCTAAAGTCACCCATGAAATAAAAATCATTGTTTGTACGTACATCGAGTTGTTTTTAAATTAAGTGGCGGCAGAAGAATTATCGTTGAACTTTTAAAAGGTAAGCTTAAATATTAATGCAATAATTAAATGCAGCAATCAATTTTGAATTCTTCTGTAGTTTATCGCATCTACTCTTCCCTCCCTATTGTGATGAAGGCTTAATCCATAGCCCTCCGCGGTAGCTAGCTTAAATGCTGCACGATAGGGCGGCTTTTAAGCTAGTTTACAAATAAATCTAACCATGTTTTTCACACGACAAACCCTTTTAATTTTTTATCAACGGTCGTTCACAAATCTCTGACATTCGTAAAATAGTTTCTTGGTATACCTATAATACACACACTCTCTCATATATATATATATATATATATATATTATATATGTGTGTGTGTGTGTGTGTGTCTATGTGTTTGTGTGAGTGTTTATTTTGATTGAACCCAATTGTATTCAAATCGTCTCTCTCTCTCTCTCTATCTAATAACAACAACCAGAAAAAAAAGCGTATTGTGCATTCAACCCTTGCCTGACACTCTACACTTTTGATCTTGTGCCAGACTAAGCTAATGAACACCTGAGGGCGCCTACTGCTTAACGATGGTTAACAAACACTTTTGGTCAACTAGTTTTGTAAGTGTAGTGACTGTCTTCTATAGGGTATCTCACTATTAGGCCATGTCTTTTTAAGTCATGGTGTTTTTGGCACTCCAAAACTTCCTGAGATTTGCTGCTCCTTTATTATTCCACTTTGATCTTGTTTTGTCATCTACTTGCTTAAACTCGTTAGGTTGTTTACTTATTCATTTTCCCTCTGTTTCTCTTGCTTTCAACCAGTGCCTATTCAATTTTCTATGCTATATTTTCTTCATCATGTGGCACATAAAGTTCAGTTGTCGCTTTCTGATTATAAGAATCAGTTTTCTTGTAGTTCTTTTCATTAATCTTCTGTCCCTGGTATTATTTGGTCGATCTAGCTTGGACATTCATGAGTCTATCACATAATGGATGCGGTAAGGTAATTTGATTTATGTTCCACACCTATCCCCAGAGATCCCAGCACATTTTTTTCCTCACATACACTTTTGTCTTTCTTTCATTCTAACCTGAAGAAGCCAGAACGAGCAGATGCTCTCGGCGGAACGCGTCGTTTATAGATTTTCCACTTTGTCTCATATATATATGTGCGTGTGCGTGTGTGTGTGTAAATTATTTTAAGATAGAGTGTATCTGTGAAGGAATATTATTATTCGGTCGAGATAGCGCGGATATTCACGAGTCTATCACGCCAGCCATCACGGTCAAGCATCAAGGTCGAAAGGTCATTTCTGTGATGTCAACGAACCCTTGTTGTCACTTTCGTAATACTCGTTGTAGTAGAGACTTTGTAATCGCAGATACAACTATAGTAACGCTGTTGAACAATGCTGGTGCCAGACGCCTTCGAATAACACTCGCACTAATAATACTTGCTCGATAATACTCACTGTAATAGTAAACCGTATAGTGATCCGAATAGACAAATAGTATAGAGAATAGCGACCCGTATAGTAATAGAAGATAGAATAGAAATAACGACCGTTAGTCGTCAGCTACTTCCTGCATATAATTCAAGAATGGGATCGCCTATTTGTCATTGGCGATCTAAGTTCAAACTCAAGTGTCGGCAGCGACACTTTATTCCTATATAGCTGCCATTAAGGTTGCATTTTGTGTCGTAACATTGTTTTGTTTTTAATCTTTTCACCCTATGCAAGGCAGGAGTGCCACTAATATACAGGGAGTTACAGAGAGTGAAAGTGATAGAATAGACTGGGTATGGGGTGGGGTGAAGAAAGACGTTTATGTCATCGTATTAATGGTGTGATTTAAGCTAAACTTACTAGGGAATCATACGTTTCTTTTCCTCAGATTATATTTTGTATAGCGTTTGTAACCAGAAAAGAAAGCAAGGAAAGGCGTCGTTTCATTCAATGACGAGGTTCGATCTAATTAGTAAAAACAAGTTTGAAATTTGGCTGTCACTTCTTAAATTAATATATATTAATTAACGATGAAAGCCCGAAAGAGCCATTATTTTAAAGGTATGATAATATATATATATATATTTTTACAATGTTCACCTTGTAAAAGGCCAAAGAGACATTCGAGATAGAGGGTTACAGAGGCGCAGTTTATAGGATATCTGAGGAAAACAGTTGACCCTAGACTTGAATCTGTAGTGACCAGGGAAGCAACCTCTTGGGAGTCAGTTATTAAGTTTGAACCTGCTTTGTGGCTGAGACTGTTGAGTATTATTTGCTAATGAATAAAGATGGTATTCGGGAAAAGAGAAAAAAAAGAAAAAAGAAAAAAATAGATCTAGAATGCTTATTTTCAAGGCAAGAAGACCGCTGCCACTTGAAAGATGGGCGCATCATAATCTTTATTTTCGTTACCCATTATTTGTCATACATGCTGATTTAACGTAAATTTTGTTAATATCAGTACATAAAATTATTAGTGATAATGACCGGAGTTTAAAGCCAGACAATAAATAAGATAAAAATAAATAAATAAAATACAAATAAAAATAATACAAATAAACAGAGCCACTAATGCTGACTTTCAGTATAAAAGGACTCTTTTCAAATACAAATATGGTGCAACACAATCTTACCTCTATTCTTTCTCTCCTTTGATCTTATGCTGGACTATGTTTATCTTATTTTGATAAATTCGTTTCCTACGGTTTATTAATCCTTTGCAGGTTATTTAAAGCCCGAAAATATTTTTAGAATGTAAGAATTGTTTTTGAAATAATAATAGTTTAGTGCTACAAATCTTTACTGATTAACTCATAGTTGAGGCGAGAAAAGGTGGATTCATACTTTTTCCCCAAAGTCATTTACGCGTAATTTGAACTCTGCTCTCCGATTAACAATTCCAAGGCATTATCTATTGCACCACCTGCACATCCAAACATACAGTAACTAGTATTTCCAAACAGTCACCTATCTAGGTACTGACCAGGCTCGACGTTGCTTAACTTCGGTGATCGTACGGGAAACGGGTGTCTACGTTTACAAAAAAATTCTATGAGCTCAAGGCACTATGCTCTCTGCTTCATAACATTTCTCAGATTAATGGCATTACTTGACAATGCAAGTGACAGATTACACTGGGTTATATGGTATCAGCTTTGAATAATCCGACATAATGGGAAAAGGTGTATGCGTTTTTCAAAAAATATTAATTAGGATTAAACTATCGCAGCTGGAATTTGCACTCTATTCCCCGTGTCTATTTCGCCAACTTCGCACCTGTACAAGCTTGAATAAATATCAATAAACATTTTCATAATGCGGTGTTCGATCCAAAGTTTTTATTTAAAAAAACAACAACAACAAAAAAAAACAAGTACTTCGAATGCTGCCCCCGTCTTATAAGACAGTCCCAGTAGACTCTTGCTTTCGTTAATCGCAATCTTATTCTTGGTCAGAGCCGGTGTTTCTCGACTTTTTTAAGCAACGGCACACCGAGGAGCAAAATAAATCTCGGCATACTTAGCAAAATTTTTTCAAAGTATACATTTAAACGTTATGAAATAAAAACCATAGGTTAAAAAATTACACACACGCAAATATGAACTTACTTTATTCCAATGTCTCTGTTCAACTATTTGTGCAGCTTCTTTAGTCTGAAACCTGTGACTGGTTTTTTTTTTCGTGATTTTTTTCAATGTCTGGTTGAATATGTGATAAACACTCATTTCTTTTTCAGTTGAGCTTAGTCTTTCAGGCTTCTTATTTTTGATGTCATTTCGGGTTGAGAAGCCCAATTCACATAAATAAGAAATAGAAAATTGCCATGACAGTATTTCACGGTATACTTAAGAGGACGGCGGTTAAAAATCACTGGTCTAAGCTAATCCTAAAAAAAAGCAATATAAGTTTACTAGATTTTTTGCAACATTCTGACACGTGTTGAAATCCAAAAAGTATTTAGCACTGTTGAAGTTATCACTAACATTTTTGTAGAGATTTACAATGAAAAGTAATAAGCTATGCATACTAATTAAACCAATTATATTTTTTAACCTCTTACCTGTTTGCACTTCTCCAAAAAATCTGATTTGGATCGGTCAATGTATGACTATTTTAAAGAGTGTGACGGACGGACTAAAGGAAGGTACAGCAGTTTATATATAGATTCTTCCATTCAAGCGGAGAAGTCAAGCGATTTAATTTATTTCGAATTTCACTACAGTTTAAAGGTTTGCGCTTTATTACGACACAAGTAATTAAAATAAAGACAACATGCATTAAACAAGAAAAGAAAGTAAAAATCCTGTTATGTTGACAGTTGAATGGATTCACAGATTGAGGGCTCAAGAATCTTAATAATCAGGTGCGGTTATTCGGTTTAATCTCTCTAATAGGGAAAAATTGAATCAAAAGCAATTTTTAGTTTCATTATCCGACAACTGAAAAGAGGTCACGCAAAATGTTGAATGCGATTTCGGCAATAAATGATACGAAGCAAAAAGCAGCTATAATTAAGTTTTCACAAGACGGCTAAAAAGACGTGTGCATAATTTAGAACTCTCTGAACTTTGTAGATCTATCTACTTCCAACTTGTCTTTCTTAAATTTCTTTTCTATCATTTCTTTATACTTTTTTAAATATCGGTATCACCCAATGCAAGGCAGTAAAGCCGCTAAGACACAAGGGGTTAATGAGTAGGGAAGAATTAGGAACAGAAACATTAATAATGAGCGGGAAGAGAAAAGTGTAATCAGAAGGACAGTAGATAGCGATTGATATTGCATTTACATTTTTGCAGATCAAACTTGGCTGGAAAGCATAGAGCCAGAAAAGAATTCCACAAGTAAGAAGTGTGAGAAAAGAAACTGTTAGCATAGAACTTACAGTTACATCTAGCCAACTCAACAGTAAATTGATGAGATCTCGACGCCAGTCTGGTATTGCGCTTAAATTCAAAAAAGTCTTGGTGCCATAGCGAAGAGCTCATCCGAAAAATTACCATGAAAGTATTTATAAAAAGTCACAGAGAGGCAACCTTACGGCGGTGGGAAAGTGAATGAAGTCGAGCCGCCAGATAAGGACCAATAATATTGTTGATTCTTCTTTGGATTTTATCAAGGAGCTCAAGATAAATAGCAGGGACACCGTACCATATGTGGCAGCAATATTCAAAGCCTGGATGAATGGTAGACTTATAGATATGTAAGATAGATTCTGGAGAGAAAAATTGTCTTATGCGTCACAATGAACCAACTTTCTTAGCAGCTGACGTAGCAATGGATTCAATATAGTCTTTCCACTTCATCTCAGCTGAGAATGTTATCCCGAGAATAAACAGACATTATAGTCTTGTTTGCATTTCCTAGATGAAAAACTGTCGTGATTAATTTTATCGGTTTTGATTAAAAGTATATTTTTACCAGTATTAGGTTGAAGAGCCACTCAAGGCAGAGGGTTATTGAATGAAGTGTGATATGAATGCAAGTGTAGAAAGTACGGAGTCAGAATTGTGTAGATATGGAGTATAGGTAACGATTGACCCTTGTCTTAAAGATATTAATCTTAATATCTTTAAGACAAGTGTCAATCGGGAAAGCATCCATGCCTCGTCTCTTTCACAAAGCAGTGATTCTTGGAAAAAAGCTGTCTGAATATAACTTTATATTTACAACTGGAATACAGAAAGAGGGGAAGTAGTTCATCTCAGTGAATACCGCATAGTGGGTCTTAGTTTTAAAGGTCAGAATTGGTGAAACTGAGAAAGCAGATGATCCAATCATTTGCCGTGGAAATAGAGACAGAGTAGCGACAGGTCTGTGACGTTTCATCCGTAGGGAAGGAACTGCAGGGTGGAAAATACTACCCCCTAAAGGGGCCGCCTAAACGAGTTTTGTCTCTATCAAAGTCCCAGGCTAGAAATGGTAGCAATATTAAGTTTTTGGACTAATCTGACTAGAAGAATTCAACGACTTATCGGAGCGGAACCATTTATGGAGGGTACCATTTTTTCCAGGATCTTTGGCAATGGACCATATACATCATTGATAACCGCACGCTACTACGAATGGAAAGAAGAAAAAAAAACATTAGTAGAAGGTAATTATCAACGATGTAAGCACAGTTTCAAACTTGACATTTATAAATAAAGCATAAAGTACAGGTAACTCTGTAAAAAGTCAGGGATCACTGTATTAATATGATGAAGAGGGCCACACTTCTAAAACGCTAAAATATTAATATTTTTCGATTCTGTCACATGTAGAGGGAGGCCCAATGAATGTGAATCTACAACATTTATTTCCCCTAAAATGACTCCCTGCTTTTTATGAGCGAACTAGTTAATTCAAATAGTGCTGAACTTACATTCCACTCTCGGGATAAGATTGTTTCTTCAAAGATATATCAGTTGTATAATTTTGTTACCTGTGCTACTTATAAAAACTATGTTATTATTGATATTCCTTAAAATTAAATGATATTCCTTAAAATGAAATAGTCGTAAGATGATTGTGTAGCGTCAATTTACCAAGTATAATAGAAATATATAACTCTATAGCTACAAGGGGGAGGTTTTCATATTTACTAAGTTCAGATTCTTCTATATGCCGCGTCCCTTCAGGACATAGGCTATCATAGTTCTCCACATCTTCTATATCGTGTAGAAATTAGCAGTTTTTCTCCATTTACTAAAACCTCCGACTCCGTTCTGCCATCCATTTAGAAAAGTTCATCAGTAAGTGGCTCACGAGCTTTTTTTTTATTTCTTTTATCCTCATCATTCCCCGTGTGGGTGTTAAGTTTTACAAGCCCTCCTTCCTCATTCAAAGGAATTTCAACTGACTTTTCCTGATTCTGAGTTTGTTCTTTAACACTTCTTTGTTGCTTACTCACTTCATACACCGAACTTTCAGTATATGTAAAATATATTTTTACAGCTTCTTGTTTGTATCTCATCCTTGGGGAGATTGACCAACATTCACTGGCACACAATTTAGCAACCAAGGTAAGTATTCCAAGATTTGAGAAAACACGGAAACATTCCAGGGCAGAAAGCAAAGTTGAAAGTAGACCCCAAAGCACAATAGCATATTCTTTATAAATTTCATGATGTATCTGATGGTATCGTCTTCCAGGAGAGTACACAATAAATGTAAACATGACAATACTCCCAGCTGGGCATCCATACTAACAGTTCCTTGTAGCCTTAAGGGACCAGTTCAAGATCAAACGATTCCCTTGTGAATTAAGGCATCATAAATCCAGTTATTAAACCAGCATCTTGGAAAGAATCATTTATTTATGAGACGAAGTCCACTAGCTCAGTCAGGCTACGCCTAGACCGCAGAAACCTGAACAAAACCATATTGCAACCACATTTCGTGACACCACATTCGAGGATATCATGTCAAAATGACATGGTGGAAAGTCGTTCACCATTATGGATGTCAAGTCAGGATATTGACAAATGAAGCCAACAACATTCATGACTCCATTCGGAAAATAAAGGGTGTTTCATTAAGACGGATCAAAGTCAGCAGTAAATAAATCAGTGTTATTGGTGAAAATTTATTTATTTCTCTATTGGATCATGTTATCTAAGTCATGGCACTTATGTGTGAAGAATAATATCACCCAAATATCCGCCAAGGCTTCGGCGGCACACCTTCACTCGATGGTTAAAACTTTTGATGACGTCTCTGCATAGTTGCTCCTCGATCTCATCAATATGACTTATTATCTCATCCTTCAGCTGTTGAATTGTTTTTGGCTTGTTGGCATAGACCTTACTTTTGAGATAACCCCAAAAGAAGAAATCTAAAGGCGTCAAGTCGCACGATCGTGGTGGCCAATTGACTCCGTTGTTTCGAGAGATGATGTGACCTGGGAACTTCTCATTGCATTTCTGTTTGAACGTCCATTTTCGTAATAGGCTTCGATAACGTTGTTTGATTGTTAATCTTTCCATAGTTGAAATTGCCAAAAACTTAAGTTGTTAAATCTGAAAGAAAAAGAAAAACATCATTAGACGCTTAAAACCTAATTCACATTTAAGATCGGTCCAAGTTATGGGAACACCCTTTATTGATTGATTTGTTTTGTACGGTTTATCAACTCTTTGTAAGTTATTTAAAGCCAGAAAAATATTTAGATTGTAAGAACGTTTTTGGATATAATACTGATTTACTGATACATTTTCTACTAATTAAACCATAGCTGATGGGAGAATAGGCGGATTCATTCCTTTCCCAAGGGTATTTGCACGTAAGTAAATATAACGAACCCGACTAGAATTGGAACTTCGCTTTTTGATTTTCAATTTCGAACCGTTAAACATTACACAACACGTACCCTAAACTTACAGCACCTGGTACTTCTAAGTGGTCACCCATCTAAGTACTGACCAGGTTCGACGTTGCTTAACTTTGGCGATCGTAAGAGAGCCGTTGTTTCAATGTGATTTGACCTTAAACCTTAGCCCCCGATGTGAATAAAGAATGCACAAGATAGATTTCAGCAAGCCATATTTGAGGACCTTGGAGATATAAATTTAGTCTCCATTAGTGACAATATAACTGGCTATGGTTTCAAAGAAGATGCAGAATAACTATAACAAAACATTCAACGGACAATTTCAAAGGGTCAGAGATAAATACTGCAAACTGAACACTGAAAAGCTTGTGGTGCGTTTTTTTTTTTTAGCGTTTCACCCCAAGCAAGGCAGGAAGCCACTAGCATGCAAGGGGTTACAGAGAGTTGGAGTGAGAGCAAAGAAGAGTGATAGAGGAAAAGTTGAAGAAAGAGAAGGATAGTGGATAGATCAAGGCATCTGGAGACGTCGATGGACATTACATTTGAATAGTTGGAGATTATAGCTATCAGGGAAACAAGAAAAGGGGAGGAAGTTCCACAGGCGAGAAATGCGAGACATGAACCTATTGGAGTAGAAGAGACGGCTACATTTAACAGTTTCGACAGTGAAAGGGTGAGAGCGATATGCTAGCCTAGTTGAACGCTTAAATTCGTGAAGTCTGGGAACCAGCGAAAGCAGCTCATCGGAGCAGTTACGGTAAAAGCATTTGTAAAGAAGACAGAGGGATCCGACGGCACGTCTGTGTGAGAGCGACTGCAGAGGAGATGCCAGATCAGGGCCAATTACATTGCATATCCGTCTCTGGAAATACCATTTCACATATTGTGTCAATGAAAAATATCCTTTCATATATTGTGTGAAATGCTGGTGAGAAACCAAACCCAAAGAAGATCCAAACAATCAAAAATATTTAGCCATTTTCTTGAAATGGTAAATTACTTCAACAAATTCTTTTACTATCTTGTGCCGTTGACCAAATCACTAATTGCTATGATTTAAGAAAAGTGATTTTATCTGGTCGTCTTAGCAACAAAAAGCATTAGGCAGTGTCAAAGAGGAAATTAGCAAGACTGCTGTGCTAAGGAACTCTGAACCCCAAAACACCAATTGAGACGCAGATTGACGTATCAACTGCTGGGCTCGGTGCAAATTACCTTGAGAATGTCATTCGAGTTGCTTTTGCTAGCAAAACACTTTCAAAACCGGAGACACGATATTCCAATAACAAAATAGAGATACTTCTTGTTTTTAACCTCGATAAATTTCATCAATATGTTTGGGGCTATAAAGGTAAACATTTAGATTGGCCAGAAACCTTTAGATTGAATTACACTTGGAAAATGAGGTTCCACAGAAAAAATAGAAAGCGGTCTAAGACAAGGATGCATTTTCTCATTAGATCTTATTCAACCTTTACAGCTTGACCATTCTGAGAGAATTAGAAGTCCTACCATTATTTCTTTTTACTGGTGGCCACATTTTTAACAACATATGATATACAGATGATAGTGTTGATAGCAGACACAGAAAGGAAACTAGAAGAACTCATACTGAAGGCAGTGAAGGAAAGCGTGTAGAAAGGACTAAACATCAATTGCAAGAAAACTGAATGCATGGTTGCTAGCAAAAGTGACAGCCCAACATTCAAATTACAGATTGGAGATACCGAAATCAAACAAGTAAAACAATTTAAACACCTGGCAAGCGTATTAACAGAGGACGGAAAGTGGAACACGGATATCCGAAGTTGCATTTGGATAATGAAAGATGTCTTCCAAAAGCTAAGCAAAGTATTAAGAAACAGAAAAATATCGTTAGAGTACTGAAGGCTTACGTAGTATCAATCTTCCTATATGGCAGTGAAGAAGAGAATTGAAGCAACAGAAATGTGGTTCTACAAAAGGATGCTGCAAATATCATGGATCGAACATGTGAGCAACGACGCAGGATTTCTCAAAATTTCCTAAAATTAAATGAGTGGGAGTTAACTATATATAGGAATAAAGTGTCGCTACCGACAATTGAGTTTGAACATAGATCGCCAGTGAGCAAATACAGGCGATCCCATCATAGAATTAAATAGATCACGTGAATATAGAGGAAACGCATAAGTAGGAATTAGCTTGGCGTCTAAGTGATCGCTATTTCTAGTCTACCCTCTATTACTATACGGATCATAGTTTCTATTTTATCCTCTATTACTATTTGAATCACTATTTCTACTCTATCCTCTATTATTATACGGACCACTATTGTCTACTCTATTCACTACACTATTTCTCTATTCGAATCACTATACAGGTTACTATTGGAGCAATTATTATCGAGCAAGTTCTATTCGAAGGCGTCTGACACTAGTATTGTTTAACGGGGTTACTATAAGTTGTATCTGCGATTACAAAGTCTCTACTACAACGAGCATTACGAAAGTGACAACAAGTATTCGTTGATATTACAAAAATGGCAACGAGTGTTCGTTGATATCAAAAAACAAATTTAAAAAACTAATTTTCACAAAGATTTTCTTAAAATAAGAAACATTTCTAGAATAATTTAATTAATTTCCGAATAAGTTCTGAAAGTTTCATTAAAATTATCTGATTTTTGTAAGAATTTCCAAATCAATATGTTTTTACCGCAAAAAGACAGTCAAATTTCCCGTACAAATTTATGGTTCAACGTTGACGCTAGAAAAGATTTTTAACAAAATTTCCAAGGTTCTAAAAAGGATGCAAAAATAATTTTTACGTAAAAATCTTTTGATGTTTCCTCTTAATAATAAAACAAATATTTTGACGATAAAATTCTTTTTATTATGTTTTGTGCATTTTTTTTCATTGCATCTCATTTTCAGCGAATTATCTGCGCTGCAAACAAGGTTTTACGTAATCATGTGAGTCCAGTTAAATAATGATTTAAGGTGCAGTGAAATGGACGACATTGACAACTGCTTGCTGCAACAATTCGTCATCATGGTAAACGACAAAAAGAAAAGACAAGTTATAAATTCAAAACAAATAATTATAAAATATATTGATAAAACACGCTTACATTAGTGTTTTGTTAGCAGTGTTATATAGGAAAGAAAGGAACTTCATCGATCGAAGATATTAAATAGTCGTACACAATCTTTAGTTGAACTTTCTGGAGGGATAAAGTACTTACATGACTTAAAGATACTTTAATGTGTTGCGAGCAGTAAGAATGATTGCAGTCGCTCAAGTGGTCAGCCTGAAAAGTGTGTGTGTCGGGGGGGGGGAATCCTGCAGTACACATTTACCAAATGTTCTCAAAATCTTGACTGATGATTGTTTTAACGATATTCTTCAGATGGTAATGAACAGCGTGCTGATTGCAAACACAGAAATAATATTACAAGGTCTCTTAGACATGGCTGTAAAGGAAATCGAGAAAAAAAAGCATTGGCCATCAACTGTAAGAAGACAAAATGTATGGTTGTCAGCAAAAGAAAAAAAGCCCAAGGTATGAACTCCAAATTGAATATGTCATCAGTATTAAACTGGGAAAGTTGGTTCACTGTGATGCGTCAGACAATTTCTCTTATCAGAATCCATCTTGCATATTTATAAATCTACCATTTGTCTGGACATTGAGTATCTGGTCTGTTCCTATATATATCCAGAGATTGTTGACAAAAAACAAAAAAAACAAAAAACAACAACAACAAACAAAAGCAGTGTCTGTAATATTATCAGTCCAGACCTGGCATGTCGACTGCACTTACTTTCCCACCACTGTGATATGGCTTCCCTCTGTCTACAAATATCTTCATAGCAGTTGTTCAAATGAGCTCTCCTTTGTACCTCAACCACCTGAATTTAAGCATACTACTGGATTGGCAACTAGGTCTCATCGTTTTACTGTTGAATTAGCTCGATGTAACCGTAAGTTCTATTCTAATAGTTTCTTTTCTCGCATGTCTTGCCTCTTCCGGTTTATTGCTACCTTGCCACCTACAACAATCAAGAAGTTGAATGCAACATCTATCGCCATCTTCTGTTGTCATGAAACCTGTTCTTATATTGTCCTTTATCCTCACTAAAATCTTTGCTACTTCAAGTATCCACTTGTGTATTAGCGATATTACCGCCTTGCTTGGGGTGAAATGATAAAGTGTTTCAACAGACGATGGAAAGCGCGACGCGAAATCCATCGCATTGGATTAACGAAAAGTGAATTCCAAAAACTAAACAGAATACTAAGTTACTGAAAAATTTCGTTAGAACCAAAGAAAAAGAGTGTTGAATTGCTATGTAGATATCCAGATTCTTGCAAGGCTGTCAATGTTGGACATTCTCATCAAAGATGAAGAGGAGACTGTAGGCAACAGAAATGTGATTCTACAGATAATTCAATCTAAGGGGGTGGGGGAATAAGCAACGCGGAAAATGGTAACGAATGGAACACTTCTATTCAAAATCAGAAAGTGAGCTGAAATTTCTTGTCACATAAAGAGGAAAGAGGAAAACTTAACACTCACATGACATATCGAGGGCAAGAAAGATAGGGGAAGGCAGTGGGCTACCTACCTAACAAGCTTGTGTGAATTGAGAACGGAACAGGGGGCGGGAGACTTGGCAAAGGGAGAAACGCTGCTAAGATTCACAAGGGATAAGAGATTTTGGAGAGCCACAATCGCTCACTTCCTGAACAGGAAGAGTGGAGCGACGATGGAAATATGAGAATTACATTTTACTAACATAAATAAAAATAATATTAAATTAATAATAATAAACTAAAATTATAATAATAATAAAATAATAATAATAATAATAAACTTAGACAATTTTTTACAGATAATAATAATAATAATAATAATAATAATAATAATGTGCCTCCTTATTAACATAGCAGTCTCTGCAGATTGCAGTGTATCTTTGAAGATCTTCAAAAAATGTATACAAAATACAAGGATCTTGAAATCTTAAAAATATTAACCTTGAGGAATCTAACAATTCCAGTTGTAGCCTTCAGATTGATTAGAAAAGATTCCAATAGACCCACTGAAGGAATACCTGGTAGCCCATGCCTTAAAGAAATACAAAAAATTGTACTCACAAGTACAAC